TCTCACTTTCTCGCAAGTTTTTTAGTGCTCTCCCCTTTGCATTTTGTATTTATCTCACCCACTATGTATATATATATCTCTCGAAAAGATGAAGAGGATGAAAGAGTTTTTAGAAGTTAAATAGAATAAAGATAATGGAGCATTAATGATCTTCTAATTATAGTCTTGATTCATAGTATATGGCAAAATTGAAATAGGAGGATGAAACACTAAAAGGTATTATGGCATAAATGAAGGGAGAGGGGAATTTAAAGGGGTGGGATCGTGAGGGAGAGAAAAGAGAGATGCAGAGAGAGAAAATTTGTATTTAAATTACACAATTACAATCAAAAGAATAGTTAAAATGAGAGGGTAAAAATCGAACACAAAGTTTCTCCTAATAGTGGCTTTTATATATACTATAGATATAGATATTCTAGTAGAACAAGAAAATTGTAGTTATATGAAAATAAAAAATAAAAGTCGTAGCCAAACACCAACTTTTGGATCCTTATCCCGATTTAGAATACACTATATCGGCTACCAAACAGCCCATCGAAGTTCCAACTTCAGAGCAGTCCTCTTTCCGTTTGTACTGAGTCCTCTCTCTTCCCCCAAAACCCTACTTCAAACCTCCACAACAAGAGAATAAGAAAGTAAACAAAAACCGATCAAAACCCTAAAATCCTCCGAAAATGTCCCCTTTGATTTTCCGATCCCGATTCATTTCCTTGCTGAAGAATCGCCATGGACGCCTCATGAGCTCGGACCTCGCTTCCAGCGCCTCCAAGGATCCCATCAATGCATCCCAGAAGCTCGTCCCCGATCAGATTCCACCCGATGCTCAAGCCACAACTTCTTCCTCCACCAGTAAGCCCTTGAGTTTCCTCAAGTATAGTTTGATTGGAGCTCTCACGGGGGCTACAGCGGCTGCTGGTTACGCTAGCTATGGTACTTTCTCCTTCATTTAACTCCTCACTTTTCTTTTAGGATAATGGAATTTGATCTGGTTTTTGTTTTTGTTTACTGGATGAATTGGAGTTGTGGACTGGTGATTTGTTTTTCAGCTTATAGTTACGATGAAATTGAAGAAAAGGCAAAAGCTCTCCGTCAGTCTGCAAGTTATAATGTCACGGACGATGTATCTGGTTTTGGCGTAAGTGCGACAATGTGCCTGATCTTGAATTTGAGAAACTTAGCCATATACAATGTCATTTGTCTCTCAATTGTTTTCTTATTCAAATTATATAGTTGTTTTTTCTCCTTTCCAATGCACTCACTCAAACCTGATTGAGGCTGTAACACTTACTACACAGGGTGAACATTACATGCCCATTTGTTGGAAATTCTCGGGATGGTACAATACCAATTGATTTTCGTTATTGAGCCATTGATGGTTTAACTTATTTTTGTGTTGCTTTTGTAATTGCACCAAGTGTATATGATCTATATGAGTTGTTTGTGCGATATAACGTTTCATGCTTATGTAAGTTTGTGTATTTTTTTTTCATCCCTCTTTATTCGACTTCATTTATTCTGTTGTGGAAAGCATAACCTTTACATTTATTATTTTACTTTGCAGAAATTTCAGGGCATGCTCTACTCAACAGCAATGGCAGGTAGAAGAACTGAACCTTTTTTCATATTGACTTCACCAATAAAATGCTAGCTCTTTGCATGACGTTAACCTTTCGATGAAGAGCATTTACGGTTTACCCACTGGATAATTTGAAAACCCTACTAACATAACCCCCCCACCGAAATGAAAATAAAAATAAAAGATAAAAAAGTCCATGCGCAAGAGATAATAAAAGGAAAAAATGCTACCATTGCATGAAATTGTTAAATATGTAAATATGAAATTGCATGAATAACTATGCATCATATTATGGAATCAACAACTTATGTTTGATACTATTATCTTCATCAATTACTTGACTGATGTTTTATAAAGCATAGCTCTTTGAAGCTTATGCGCATTGTATAAAATAAGTGAGGTTAGAGATGGTTAAGCTATGGAAGCTTACAGTTTAGGGAGAGAGTAGATCAAAGAAAATGGTGGTGGTGTTTGGAGGGGAGGGGGACTTATATCCTACTGCCTGCTGGGCTTTCTAGTTCGAGTTAGCGCAGAGAGAGACCAAAGATTATCTCTCTCTCGCAGCCTTTTTAATTGTAAGCCCTGAATCATATCATTTAAGCCAAGGGATGCAAATATAAATGTGCCTCAATGGGTCTGCTTCTGGTGCTGAAGTGCACACCTAGGTGATGCTTGGTAGAGGATACCTTGTGTCCATCAAGGTGCCTTTGATGCTCGTGCACCTAAGCACACTTTTTAAAATGTTTCACTTGTGACTTGACGAAGTAAAGAGTTGTGAATATATTATAAACATTGATATTTACTCTTTTATGCTTATTATATGGAAACTGTTACTCACAGTACTGTTAGTTGACAAAAAGAACCTTCGTTGTTGCAGTTCCTGCAAAACTAGTTAATGTTTACTTGGATTTAAGGAAGACAATTGAAGAACAAGTTAGAGTGCGTACGTTGTTTCAGTTTGACATTGTTCTTGAATGTTATCGTCCTCAATAGATTCAATTTTCTCTGACCATAAGTTTCTCGCTCATTGTAGGATTATACTGAACCCAATGCGGAAATGCTTCTTCCAGATTTGCATCCCATGGAACGGCATGTGTTTACACTTGTTCTAGATTTAAATGAGACTCTAGTGTACTCTGATTGGACGGTAAGGCTAATATTGAAGTTAATGTTGTGTTCTTGGAGCCCATGTAGTCTCTGGGTTTTTTTTAATGGTGCCTCAAGTCGTAGTTTTGCCCTTTTTTTTGTATGGCTTTCTTTTGGTTGTACTTTCTTTCTTTGTTGTTAGAACTGTTTTCTTATCCCCAAAAAAATGTGTTATTTTTAATTAGTGAATTTGTTGAATTGCATTTTGACTAGCTTTTCCATATGAATTTCATTTTTCCATCTTTGATCTTCGATGAAATTTCTGCTTGATTTCAATCAATAACCTCTTCTTCAATGTCTTATATCATTAGATTTAAGATGTTTATCCTTTATGCTTTGTACTTGATCACATCAAAGACTTTTTGGGGTTTTTTTTGGCTGGTTGTAACAACTTCTTCTTCTTGCTTGTAAAGAGAGAAAGAGGCTGGCAGACGTTTAAAAGACCTGGTGTTGATGCTTTCTTGGAACATCTTGCCCAATTTTATGAAATTGTTGTATACTCTGATCAATCAAATATGGTAATTTATTCTTTTCAGCATAAGCTCAATGGCCGCATTTATAAAATTTAATCACTACAAAATTCTATTATTTTGTTTTCTATTGCAGTATGTTGATCCTGTCATTGATAGGTTGGATACCAAACACTGCATACGATATAGGTTGTCAAGAGCAGCTACAAAGTATGTGAATGGAAAGCATTATAGAGTAAGTTATGGATGAGGGTTTACAGCATTCTTTGTTTGATTAATTCTTTCCTAGATATTTGGATCTTACAATTCTGCATTGACGCAAGTCTTTAAGATTGTATCCGTTGTTTAGAATTGGCTCATACCATCTATTTTTACATTCTACATTGCTTCATTGCCATCTGTATTATACTCGATTATATTTTTACTTCAACCCCTGTATTAGAAAACTTCTTATTGTAATTCTTTTGGATGAAAAAGATGGATAAATTGAAAATATAAAATAGATGATGAGTATATCATTGATTTATGGAACCAGTAATCCTTTGAGAATTTGGTTCAAGTGTATAATGCACCCTTTCTTTGTTGCTTTTCCAAACAAAAAAACAGGACCTGTCAAAGCTTAACAGGGATCCCAGGAAGATTATTTATTTGAGTGGCCATGCGTTTGATAGTAGTCTTCAACCAGAAAACTCTGTTCCAATAAAGCCATGGAAGTGTGAGGGCGATGACACATCTCTACTTGATTTTATACCATTTCTTGAATGTAAGCATGCTGCTCTTGCAATATGATAAGAGTTCATAACTAGGGATGATTATGTTTGGTTAGTGCAGATTTGCTATTCTGGTCACAGCTGCATTGACATTTACTTGAATGTGCAGTTGTTGCACGAAATAGCCCAGCTGACATCAGACAAGTATTAGAATCGTATAAAGGTTGTGATATTCCAACAGAATTTATAAGACGTTCCAAAGAGCATCAAAGGTATTCTTCTTCTTCTTCTTTTTACTTTGCAGTTGTTGCATTTTATTCTCTTTACCTTTTTTTCGAGGTTTTACAATTCTAGTCCCTTTACTCTGCTATTTTTAATGTTTTGGTCTCTTTACTGTCCTTTGTGGTTTCATAAATATCTAAAGGTTAGAAAGTGAACCTGACATTATGTAGAAGCTGCCAAGCTGGCATGACACCATGCTCGCCTCAACATTTTTTGTTAAAATTCTTATTAAAAAAAACTTTTTTGTCAATATTTGAAGGAAAAAAAAACTGAAGTCAAACAAATGAAAGTATGGGGACCTAAAATTTTAAAATGAAAATTCACAAGGATTGTAATCCATCTTTTCTGGTCAATGACTGCGTTTTGTTGTTGCCTTTGTTCAATTTTTTTTCTTGGTTTCAGCTAAAAGCTGTATGCTAAAGGATATGGTTTCATGCTTACAGCTTACCTGTGATTTATATTGCATGTTGGATTTTTATAGATATACGTGAGGTGATTTGTAAGAATTGTACTTGTGAAATATAATTTTAAATTAGATTTACGCAGGTTTGATAACCATCTAATTTTTCGTTTTTTGTTTTTGGTTTTTATTTTTCGTTTTTTGTTTTTGGTTTTTTGAAAAACATAGTTGCTAGTTAATCAATTTAATTTTTTATTTTCTGCTTTTTAAAAACATTTTTAAAATTTTACCTCCAAGCGGTAGTCCAGTTGGCAAGGACTTGGGGTCTCCTGGTCATACTATCTTACAAGTCTCTCAAATATTGTTTCAAGAATTGAATTGCAATAAAATAATCTCTTTTACGATGCTTACAACAGAGGTTGAAACCACTGAACTTGCTTATGCTCTCCAGTGCTCTTTGACGTCTCTCGAATGTGGGCCTTGAGGCGGGTTTAGGTGCCCCTGGGTATACTTATAGGGGAACAAAGCTTCGGCTCCCAGTTACCTATGTAAATTTCAAAAACAGAAAAAGTAGTTTTTAAAAAGAGGTTTCTATTTTTTCAAAATCTTTTTTTTTTGTTATAATGCTCACTCTTTCTTTATTTAACATATTTCCCTCCAACAAATTTATCTCTCGCTCTAAATTTTTAATTTCTAGAATATTTAGTTTTATCTCTCTCCAAAATTTTCATCTCTATATTTTTATTTCTTTCCTTTTGTTCTAACATGTCATCCTCGTTTTTCTCTCTCAGGCCTAAAATTTTGTCTCTAAAATTTGTCTTTTATAACCTTTTTCTGTTTCTAATTTATTTTTGCTCTAGCAAATATCTCCAAATTTTTTCTTATCCAATTTTTTTTTTCCAATTTATTTTGCTATAACTTTTCTTTATTTTTTTCTCTGAACGAATATATCTGAATTTTTTGCTGTCTAAATTTGTTTCTCACAATAAATTTTCTCTCTTTCTAATTTTTCTTCCTTTTATCTTTTGATCTCAACTTTTACTCGCTTTCTCTCAATTCTTTCCTTTTTGTTTTAACTTTTCTCTAAATCTTTTTTTCTCTCTCTAAAATTTCTCTTTAAAATGTTTCATTTTATGAGTTTTTATTTTCATGGTTCTACATTAGGGATACAAAAATCTCTACAGGGTCGGGTTACTTCTCGAAGAACAGAGAATGCATTTCCCTCCATGTCCCGACCCAGCCTCAACCCCAATTCTATTTTTTTAAATAATTAATACATATTTTATTAATAATTTTACTAATTTATGAATAAAATATTGAATATATTTTTTAACTAATTATTTATACTAGTAAATAATAAATTTTTAGTAAAATAGATATAATATATATCTCTTTTTTATTTTTTAAATTCTGAAAATAACTAGAATTAATTACTATATTGATAATTTTTCTTGCAAAAATTCTCGTCCCCAGATGGGTTTCCTTGACCCGGACCTCGACTCCCAGAACCAGAGAATGAGGTGGAGAAGAACTAAATATTTATGCTAGGACGAAGATGGGAGAAATTCCCTACTCTTGTGCCACCTCATTGTCATATCTACTCTACATAAATTTCTCTCTCTAGCACATCTCTTCAATTCCCTCACTTTTAAAAAACTGAAAACTAAAATGGTTATCAAATATATTTGGTTTTCTTTTGTTTAAAAACAAAAAATAGTTATCAAACATATATGATTTTTTTTTAAACAAGAGAAAACTAAAAAACCAAAAACTAGAAACAGAAATTGTTATCGAAGCCCTTAATTTGCTTTTTTTGCTTTAATTTTAGTAACATTCAAGTTCCTTATAATATTAAATTATTTTCTGCCAAAAGATTGATAGACTCCAAATCACTAAATATTATACACCTATGAGACAAGAGCGGTCATGTAAGCAATAAGGAGGGGTTTTTTGTGTGGACCCTAAGAATATTGTGTTTTTTTTTTTTTTTGAAGAAGGCCCTAGGAATATTGTTAGTTAGAAGGGATGAGGAGGTGTAAGAGCTGTGATGTGATGTGAGGGGAGATTTTAAAATAGAATATTGTTGAGGGGGGAGGGGTATCTTTTTGCATATTGAAATTTGTATGGCTCAGTGAGTCCTTGATGGAGAGCTGGGGAGTTCTCAAAATCACCAACTTGATGCTCTGTTTTGATAAATAATAGTGAGTCCTACCAAAGACCTTACAAAGTTTATTAAAAATGCTAGCGAATTAGATAATATATGTAACTGTAAAATGGGATGAAATGAAATTTCCAATTAGTTTCTACTAGTAATAGACTCATATTTTGGTGACGATTATGTCCATCGGGCAATTTTGTATTAAGCATCCATCTATCTTATGATTTAAATGGTTGGGATCATTTCATCTAGTCATGTTCTAATCTGATCGAAATCTTAATTATATCGACGCAGGCGGATTCAAGAACAGAAGCAGCAAGGGCGAATATGGAAACGTTGAGATCAGAATAGTGTAAAAAGTTGATTGAAATTGTAGTGTCGAGAAACACAGATATTGTTTAGAATCAACTCAAGCCAGCTTTCCTCCTGCAATCCAAGAAGCAACTTCAGATTGATTCCACCTATTTTCTCTTCTACATTCCATTAGTCGCAGCTTCTTGATGTTCTACAAGAGCAGTACGTAATTTTATCATTATTTTTTTCCCAATCTGAATAACCCCATAAGTTTTGCAACTTATATCTCATCATTTCTGGAGAAGAGATTGTTCTGCCAGACAATGAAGTTTTGATTTGGTGTCATGCATGTCCTTTTGATGAGTGTTCATGACTGGTCCTAAGTTTAGCCACAATTATAACTTGCTGATTTTGTTAAACAAATTTTTATAGTTGTATAAATCAATATTATATTAACTCAGAAGTCAGAGTAGTATATTCTCTCAATTGATTGGTACTTTGATTCTTCTTACTTGATAAAGGCCAATGGTTGCGCCTTCATTTTGACAATGTAATATATATTCTAGCATTTACTATTTTGTCTCTAATTTTAAAAGGGTCCAATTATGTCATCAAATTTTGAATTATGCTTCTTTTTAGTCTAGTGGAAAGTTGATGTCGTATGTCTATTAGATAAATTTCAGCTGAGTCGGCATGTTATGATAGACGGACAAACAGATTACTAGACATATGACAACAACATTTTGCTGATTATGCTAAATATAAGGACTGAATAAAGGGGTCGAGAGCTCTGGGGAGGATGTTTGGGCTCTTGTTCGCTTTCACGTTTTCCTTTGGGTCTTGGTGTCTAAAGCCTTTTGTAATTAACTTTACTTGATTCGAACCCGTTCTTTTAGTTTGACTCCCTTTTGTTGGGCTTTCTTTTTTCCTTTTTTTGTATGCCCTCTGTTATTTGGATTCATAATTTATCATATATTCTTATTCAAGAATGCACCACCAATAGGTAAAATCTAGAACTTAATTTAAGTCATGACATTTTTTTGTGCTTTTGTTCTTGTTCTTGGCAGTGGCAAGTCACTTTCTTTGATAACTTCAAAGTCTTTGTTTGTGCTAGCAGGCAGATTCTTGGTCACTTTCCTTCTCAGCTTGACGCCAAAGCTTTCTCGACTTTAAAAGTCTCTGTCCACTCAATAAATATGGCATCAAGTCTTCTTCATCTCATAATCTCTTTTCCCCCATAAGCTCCATATTTTCTACTACTTTGAAATTTCAAATATTTGGGCTATTCATTTCCTCTTCAATGCAACATTATTGCATGCTTGGACCCATTTATTGAGTAAACTCTTTAGGGACATGTTGGTAATTCTATCAATATTTCTGTTAATGGATGTATTTGTCGTTTTTTCAGTTCAACATGGGGTTGAGATTCGAACCTCCAACTTTTCGATTGAAAATATATGTTTTGATCAATTGAGTTATGTTCACATTTCTATGTCTTTAAAATGTCACATCAAAGTACCAATAATGGTAGTTTATAATTTACTTGAAAGTCTATCCAGCTTTTATTTTTTACTGATTCGAATAATGTTTATTGCTCTTTGTAGTTTGTTCTTTCGAACTTCTATCAAGTTACTTTTATAATATCAAAATATTTTAGAGTTTGGTAGTTTCGTCGATATCGAAAGTTATTGGGATTTATTTTCTGTTTTTAATACTAGCTTACATGTACTTCAAGTGACCTATTATAATTGTAAATATAGGTACCATTTCGTAATAATTTGGTATTTTTGGTTTTTTTATATCTAAAAATCATGCTCATTTAGTAATTGCTTTTTAAAAAGTACAAAAATTGGCAAATAAATTACTAATAAATAACATCTTTTTAAAAATAGAAAACTAATGACAATCATTCTTTGATAGTTTCTTATTTTGGTGAACTTTTCTACTTTAATTTAGCCGACACTATATAAGCATGAGTCTGAATAAGGGTTTTTATTGCATGATCTTGAAGTTTAGTTCACAAGCTTTTAGCATGTGAGCTACTCTTAGAATCAATTTTCACAATTTGTTTTTAATTATATAAATATATGCCATTTTCATGTTTAATAATTTAATTTATTGGAAGCCTAATTTTAACACAAAATTTGAAAGGTTAATCAATTTTTACCCAACTTCATCGGACTGAATCTTAGGGCTAATAATTTTTTTTAATTTTTACCTTATCTTCAACTCTTACTACATCCACCCGTTCCAATAAAAAAGCAACTTGAACTTTAAATTGTGTCTAGTTACCTATTATATCACACCACTTCATCTAAAATTTAATGGGGTGCCACTTTAACATTACATTAACCAATATTAACATTAAACATAGAATCTAATTCAATATTGAATTATAAATCTTATAAATAATAGATTCGAATATTTCAAACTGACCCATCTTCATACAGCCATCAAAGGGATAATTTTGCCACCAAGAAGCCACTTTACCATAGATAAAATTCAATGTTTCGATAAATCTTCTATCATCGTTCATCGCAGATTAGATCTAAAACAATATTTTATATATAAAGAGAGATAGTATGTGAGATTGGTTGTATGAAATTTATCATTAATTTATTTTCCCTCAAGTCCACCAATAACCGGTGGAGTAGAGATATGAACCTCTGACCTGCCAAAATTTATTTTATACACAGCTCATTTGATATCTTAAATTTATTATTGAATGAATTAAAAATAAATAAATAATTGTTGGATGATGAAAATGATGAGAAAATGTATTTACATGAATAATTTATTCAAATGCTGACGTGGCACTGCAGCAGCGAGTCACGGACTTTCCGAAATTTAACTGCACACGCACGCGCTCTGTAAGCGCGTATCCTTCAGTTGCCAAACAAACTGTACAGCAGTGACTTGGTCTTTGAAAATATCTTTGCCAACTGCCAACTGCCATTTTATTTTTTAAATAATTAACCTACAAACATATAATATAATTTATATTCATTAAATACAAATATCGATAATTATTAATTTAGAACAATTCAACAAATGTTAAAATTTCAGTCATCAGTTCAAATAACCTTTTTTTTCTAAGAAAAAAATATAAATTTCCCTATGAGTCAAGTACAAAATTAATTGGATTTTGGAAAAAGTAGGACACTGGAGCTGAAATTAGTAAGTTGCAAGAGATTCATTTAATGGTAAATGTTGCGTATTGGTTTACTCGATTATAATTTTTTCATTGATTTTTTAGAATTTTTTTTTTAACACTGACTTGAGTATCGTTAAAATGCATTGAGGTACAGCAATTGACCAGACATCTAAGGATAAAGTACTATTTCGATGCGGGTCGCGATAGCAATGTTGACTCGAGGTAAACTCTGTATGCTAAATAAATATGAATATAATCTCAAAATAACAGGGGACAAGGTCGGCTAGTGAGACGATGAGGAATAAATTTCATCATCGAGAGGGAAACAATCCATATCACCAGCTAAAGTTCCTAAACGATTGTTCAGTGATAAACTAGGTAGGGGTGTAGAGTCAATTGGTTTGCCTAGAAACAGCCAGTCTTGAAAGACTACGTAATAACGAATTGATCAATTACTCTTGCGTCAAAGATGAACGAGCCTCTTTTTTTCCTTTGGTTTTTTTAACTTGAAAATTCAAACTCACATTGGCTACATGACATTGACATTAAAAATTATGAGTAAAAAATAAAATCAATAGTATGAATCAATAGTATTACGATATTCCTAGAATTTAACGCCAGTATAAATTTTACGACTCTTTTAACTTTTTTCTTTTATTTATTAAAAATTTAACGATAGTCAATAACCTTTTTTCTTTTATTTATTTAAAATTTAACAATAGCCAGTAAAAGGACAGTGAAACACATATAATATTATTGTTAAAAAGTTTTCATACCTTTTATTTTTCTTCATTTCATTGATCATATATAAACCCAGCTGGCAAAAACAACTCTCTCTCTCTCCTCCCTCTATCTCTGTCTAGTACAAATTTGTTTCCCAATTTCATCCCCCTCGTCGTACGAACTCCTCTCCCTTCAATTCTGTACTACACCTTCTTTTTTCCCTCATATAAATTACAAATGGCTTCTTCTTCCCCTCAATTTCAATCCCAATGGCCCGTTCTCTCCTCCTCTTTTCCCTCCTCTTCCTCCTCCTCTCCTCCGCCGCCGCCCACGGTGGCTCCCACGACGACGGCGACGGCGACGCCCCCACCGCCGCCGACCAGGCCCCCAACCTCCGCTCCAAGCCGCTCCTCCTTGTCAAAATCGGCTGCCTCATTCTGATCTTCGTCGGGACCTTCATCCCCGGAATCTCCCCCTACTTCTTCAAATGGAACGACGGATTCCTCGTCCTCGGGACTCAGTTCGCCGGCGGCGTCTTCCTCGGCACTGCGATGATGCATTTCCTCAGCGACGCGAATGAGACGTTCGGCGATTTGACTGATCGGCAGTATCCGTTCGCGTTCATGCTCGCTTGCGCAGGGTTTCTGATGACCATGGCCGCCGATTGTGTGATCTCGCATTTGTACCGGAAACAGACCGGCGATTCCTCGATTGGTGGCTACGGCGGTGACCTAGAACTTCGAGGTAATTTTGTTCTCGCCTTCCGATTGGAGATGAAATCGATTCCTGTTTGGCTGCTGAGAAAATAGTTTCTTCTAGGATTAATTTTTACCGTTTTTGTCCCTGAAGTTTTGGAATTATTTTCAATAATTATGTTGTTTTTTAAAACTAATTAAGCTAAAAATTCAAATACCTAGATACAAACATAATTTTCAAAAAACACAAGCAAAAAAATAATAATAATAAATAAAATAAAAAAATGAAAGTGTTATCGAAGTTTAAAGACTAAATTTAGATTTAGGAGACTAAAATAATATTTACGATGCCTTGAAGAAACCAAAACAGTATTAAAATTATTTTTTTTCCTGAATTTTCTCTCTTGTGAACTTAAAAATTTTCCAAACTTGTATGGATTCGTTGGCTGATTTATGAGTCTTTGATCAAATTTGGTGGATAGAAATGAATCTGGAAAAAAGAACAAAATTTGAAAAAAAAAAAACTAATTCTTTGGTTTACTATGAGCAAATTCCTAAACTTTGCTGGAGACAGAATCTGAGGAAAAGGCAAAAAGTAAAATAAGACAAAACCAATTATATAAAAAATATAGAGGTTTACTTTCTAAAAGTTGTTTACCTTTTCTTTTTTTTTTCTCACAAATTATTTGTTCTTTAGAAAAGACTAAATGAATTAATTATTGTTGAATTTTGGAGATCTATGTTTTTTTGTTTAACATTATTTACTTACTTGTTTGGAAAGTCAACTTTAATTAGTTTGTTTAATAATAATTTTTAAAAATACAAATTAGTATTTTTAATTTTGAGAATGACAAAACGAGTCTAGCTCAATGTAATTCACATATATCTAAAAAACTGTTTAGCTGAATAAATTTTAAAATTTAAAAAACTGTCAGAAAATGAAAACAGTTACAAAACTAATATGTTGCTGGTTTTTTAGTACAACATTCTAGGATTGGAACTCACAACTCCTCTTTATTTTATGGTATATGCCAATTACCAATATTTTGCTGTTTTTTCTTTTCTTCTCTTTTATAATTAAATTACCCTTCATAGATAATAATTAATTTTCTTAAAGTAAATTAAATTTAATTGTATTGTATTTTTAAATTGGTCAGAGGAAGAAATAAATCAAAACACAATAACGGTTCAAACAACGATATAATAGGAAGAGTTTTAAAAAGTTCAATCTATAAAAACGGTTCAGTTTTTTAAATAAACCCCAATAATCTTAAAATAAAGCAAGAAAAAGTTTTTCTTTCCAAACATATTTTCATTGAGAATTCTTTTTTTTTTAATTGTTTTTTAAAATATCTGTTTATTTCTTCTCTTTATTCAACTCCCGATAATTGTAGCGTTGTTTCAATTGCAGGAGCTGCAACGTCACCCCCAAAGTTTCAGGTAAGAAAAAGGCTAAGGACTAATTCTTAATTCTCCCTCTCCAAACAAGTTTTTCTTTACTTTCTCTAAAAGGGTAAAAGGGGTCTCGGGTCGAGAATCTAGGTTTAGAGTCGATCCATATTTGTGATGTAATATTCTAAAATGAAAACGAAAACGAAAACTTAACTAAGTTTTTGTTCAAACCAGGGCCAAAATGGCAGCAGCAGCCATCACCCCAGCCCAGCTCTCACATCAATGGGTTCCTTTGGAGACAGCATTCTCCTAATTGTTGCACTCTGCTTCCACTCCATCTTCGAAGGCATCGCCATCGGCGTCGCAGAGACCGAAGCCGATGCCTGGAGAGCCCTGTGGACGATCTCCCTCCACAAGGTCTTCGCAGCCATTGCCATGGGCATCGCGCTCCTCCGCATGATCCCAGACCGCCCCTTCCTGTCAACTGTCGCCTACGCCTTCGCCTTTGCCATCTCGAGCCCGATCGGCGTGGGTATAGGGATCATAATCGACGCCACGACACAAGGGGCGGTTGCAGATTGGATCTTTGCCATCTCCATGGGGCTGGCCTGTGGAGTGTTCATTTATGTGTCAGTAAACCACTTGCTCTCAAAGGGATACACACCCAGAGAGGCAGTTTTGGTTGACAATCAAAATTACAAGTTTGTGGCAGTTCTTTTAGGTATTGGGGTAATAGCTGTTGTCATGATTTGGGATACTTGATGAACACAACTATTAATGGAGAATTCCAATGTCCATTGTAGATCATAGCTTAGTTTTAATGTGAAGTTAGATTTTTTCTTTTTTTCTTTTTTAGCCAAGTTTCATTTGATTTCTATGTGTTATTGTGTGTAAGCTGGCCACTGAGATGACGAAACATTTACTCAAAACATTTTAATATGAAAAGCAAATATTTAGAGATGAGTTATATTCTATTTTTGGACGTGAAATGTTATAGTATCGGGTGGTTGTTTTAGTGTTACGATTGATTGGATTTCTCTATTATTAACAAGAAATGCAGCTTTTTTTAATGTTACTGCATCTTCCTTTTTCCAATTTTTGCACAACCATTTTGTTTATTTAGTTTCTTGAAGTGTGTTGTGCTTCGGGTTATTATTAAGCGTTCATTGAAGATAATATACAACAAAATTGATTGACGTTTTGTTTGTGACAATTCTCTAATGGTTTGGCCATAGTCTTGGCTATTTGATATTCACTACAACTTGTTAATACGTTCGCCAAAGTAGGAGCTTCAATTGATCTATTCTTATAAGATGATTGTTACTAATCTCCATCATTCATTTCGAGGATGAGTTATAGAGTATATAGCTAAATCTATTCTAGAACAATGGATCAAAAGATTGATATGCTTTTAACGTTCAACTATCTGTCACATCCTATCAATCAAGATAATTTTATTTAGTGGACAAATCGCATTAGCTTCATTTTGACCGTATAGACAAAATAAGAGCATAAATATAGTCAAAACTTTTAAAATCTAGAGATCAAACAAACACAATACACCCAAAACACGTTATGTAAGTCAAACCAAGCATAACTCAACTAGTTAATACACTTATCTCCGACCAAAAGGGATGTGTTCGAATTTTCATCCTCACATGTACTCAGAGAAAGATGGTAGGAAAAAAACGTTATGCAAAATAACCATCAATATTTAGTACCATCATTAGGGATGGCAAAAAAATCCGCAAGACCTGATCCCTGCAAGTACCAGACCCGATCGGGTCGGAGAATCCCCGGTTTGACCAAGGACGGGGTCAAACTGGGGATCCCAATTGGTCCCCGTCCCCATCCCGTTTAATATTTTATTACTTTTTTATATAATAATATTAATATATATTAATTTTATAAATACAACTTTTTTTTAATAAAAAACCCTCAAGCTAATATCCTATTTTGCCACTTTTGTTCACTTTTTATACCAGTAATAACAAAAATTAATTAAAAAATTAAAAATAAAAAAAATATATTTATAATGGGGACTGGGATGGAGGAAAAAATCTCCAACAGGCCGGATGGCCCCCGACCCGACCCCGCCCCATTGCCATCCCTGGTCCATCACAAACATTTTATGAAATCTAACAAACCCATAAAGGCCAAATTGAAACTTATTATAAGGACAAAATTAAAATTAGCACAAACAAACCATAACGTCTAAAACGATAATTTAACATTTAAAAACTAAAGAGCCTCTACAGAATGAGTATAAAAATGGAGTTTATGCATTAATAAGCCATAAAAAAGAGGGCTAATGAAAGGCCAGTCCGAAGGGGGATCAGATGGAAATCCAGTAAGAAATAAATACATCCCCACCATTGGAAGTTTCAAAGAATCAGTCAGTAGATTTAAGCCCCAGAAGCTAAAGATCCAAGTTCAAACCTTTCTCCAAGCAGACTGTCACAATAACAGGCCCAGCCAAGTCCCCCACAGCACATCCTGCACAGTATCAAAGGGTTCTAATGGTAAATAAATGAGTCACAACACTCCGGTACCGATGAGTAGTTCGCTATGTATGGAAACGTCATTTGGAGTGATGTGTTTAGAAGGATGTGAGTGAGCTTACCGATCCACTGGCCTGCTGATGGGCGGAAGAGGGTGGCGCCGATTCCTGATCCGATGGAAGCAAAGACTAGTGATGCGCTACACCGGAGGGTAGCGCCTGCAATCTTCTTCCTTAGAAGTATAACTTTCTCGGTTTCGACGACTATATCGTCTTCTGTGGATTTTACTTTTGCAGAGATGTATCGGTAGATTTCTATGCCGACTTGGACCAGCCATGAAGCTGCAACTCCTAGAGCGTGTCCTGCATTGTTAGGTCCGAACAGAAAAACACAATGAGCATCCGAGAGTGCAGAGAGAGATAGGAGAATAGATGGAATTTTTAACCTCTGAAAGTCGTCCTGCTAACTCTGAAGAAGTAGACCGAAGTAGACAGTCCTCGTTCAGCCTTGCGCACGGCGGATTTGGGAACATCTGTCAGGTCGATAAATAGACAAGTTTCTTGATTACATTGCTTGCTATTACCAATTACAAAGAAAGAAACTATCGTATGCTAAAAGGTGACGCCATAACGATCTTCTCTACCTATCTTCAAATATTATTTACCATTTCAATACATCTGGCATTGCCTTTTATATGTCAAAATCCAAACATTTGTAACGATGAGGATAAATACCTTTGAGAAGCTTCCATGCCATCCGCTGCGAAGCATAGTGGACAGCAATTCTTTCCAGAACGCGCCTCGTTGTGACAACAGTAGTCTGATGATATCCAAATAAGGCATCAATTAACTTGATTTTATATGTCACAACAAAAACTTTTATGCAGACAACCAAAAGTAAGACTTTTGCAGAATAAAAAGTTCCAGATAAGCAACGCAATGCAAATAATGCTGTTTCAAGAAGGAAGTTTTGGTAGAGATATTGCACCAAGAAAAGCTAGTCACTCATGGCCCAAACCAACAGAATTTTACCATTTTCCTCAAGCGTAAGTTAGGAAATAGAAGACAGTATTTCAACATCAATCAAGCCTATCACTAAATCAACAGATGATAAATTCTCGAAACGTAATTTACTTTTCAACATACGACAAATAAGGAAGGTTAACATGATGCAATTTCAAGACGTAATTTACTTTTCAACATACGACAAATAAGGAAGTTTAACATGATGCAATTTCAAGTGTATAAACAAAATAGATTTAGTTAAACTTTAATACACAAAGGAGGTGGGTAATGCATTCCTTGCAACCAGCTTTTGCAATTACTAATGAAGAATCACTTAGTTCATGGGGCACACAATCATCGACGACATTCCATTTTCACAGCATTTCGATCAGTAGTACATCCTAGGACTGTTTTAACTCCGAAACATCAGAGAAGTATAGTGAGCAACTTAGTTAAAAAAAGGGTTGGGATATTATATCAAAAGACATTGAAAAAAGTGGTACAAAAAAAGTCGCGAATTCACCATCTCAAAATGACAATGCATC